CCCCCACACTTGACCCCCGCAACACACACTTACCCCCGCAATCCACCCTCACCTCTGCACACAAGGATGGCAGAGCTCAAAGCGAACATCGGCGTGTACACCGATCCGGCGCATAACCTCTGGATCGACCCCGCCTCGCCGAGCGTGGACGAGATCAAGGCCGGCTCGACGCTCGAGAAGGGCGAGGTCGTCGTGGCTATTAGGAGTACCGGGATCTGCGGGTACGCTTTGTTCTTACTGCACGATCGTCGTTGAGAGGGAGTTGTTGTGCTGAGATGGGATGGGGACTTGTAGATCGGACATTCACTTCTGGCATGCGGGCCAGATCGGGCCGACGATGGTCGTGCGCGACAAGCACATCCTCGGCCACGAATCCGCCGGCGAGGTGCGTTATCTCCCATCCGATCTGCCTCATCTTCATCTTCATCTTCATCTTCATCTTCATTGAGATAAGATCCTCACTAATCTGACCTCTGATCGCAACAGATCATCGCGGTGCACGAGTCGGTCAAGTCCCTCAAGGTCGGCGACAAAGTCGCGATCGAGCCCAACATCCCGTGCCACACGTGCAAGCCCTGTCTGCACGGCCAGTACAACGGCTGCGAGAACGTCCTCTTCCGCTCGACGCCGCCCGTGCCCGGTCTGCTGCGGCGCTACATCACGCACCCCGCCGTGCGTACCCCCACCCCATCCCCAGTCCATGCACGGTACTGACCTCGGGCGGATCATTAGGTCTGGTGCCACAAGCTCCCCGCCACAATGTCCTACGAAGACGGCGCGCTCCTCGAACCCCTCTCCGTCGCCCTCGCCGCCGTCGAGCGCGCCGACCTCCGCCTCGGCCAGGCCGTCGTCATCTGCGGCGCGGGCCCCATCGGCCTCGTCTCGCTCCTCTGCGCCAAAGCCGCCGGCGCCGAGCCGATCCTCATCACCGATATCGACCAGGGGCGGCTCGACTTTGCGAAGAGCCTCGTGGCGGGGAAGCCGGGGACGCTCGCGACGCTGCTGATTCCGCGCGGGAAGAGCATTGAGGAGCTGGGGGGTGATATGGTGAGCGCGCTGGGCGGGCTCGAGCCGGATCTGGCGCTGGAGTGTACGGGGGTGGAGAGCAGCATTGGCGCGGCGATCCACGCCGTGCGGTTTGGAGGGAAAGTGTTCGTGATCGGCGTAGGGAAGGACACGATGAGCTTCCCGTTCATGCGCCTCTCGGCGCGCGAGATCGATCTAAGGTTCCAGTACCGCTACGCCAACACGTGGCCGCGCGCGATTCGGTTGGTGGACTCGGGCGTGCTGGCGGATATTAGGAAGCTCGTGACGCATCGGTTCGATTTGGAGGATGCGGTTAAGGCGTTTGAGACGAGTGCGGATCCGAAGACGGGGGCTATTAAGGTGCAGATTACCAACTTGTAGAAGGATTAGACGAGGGGTACAAGAGGGAGCTCGGGTGTACTGGTACAATGTATAGAGGATGGGAACAAACTAGGCAAATGAATCTGAGCTTTTCGAGGGTTTGGACTGGCTACACCGCTGGATGCGCGTTGTAGTATTGTCATGGAAGCGGACACTGAGCGATCGAGAACTAGAAATACAACTACAGAGGGACATGAGGACATAAGAACGTGACAGCACACATAATAATACTCGCTCTTCTGGCATCGTGATCTCTTCGGCTCCTCTTCTCTATCGCTCCCCCAAGCTCTTTACACATGCGCACGCTTACTTCGTCTCTTCGCTCTCTCCGGCGGAAGCCCGGTCATCGTTCTCCACAGGTGCCAATGCAGACCCCGAAAGGCCGCGCTCGACGTCGATCTCGAAGGTGACCGTAATGGCGGTCTCAACGGCATGGACGGGTCGCGCCTCCACCATGGGCATTTCGTTGCCACGTAAAGGACCACTGAGAACTACAGGCCCACGCAAGTGATGGATCTTTCCAAGTTTGACCAGGAGGATGACGATGAGGGGGTAGATGGCCTGTACGTCTTCGTCAGTTTCATGCGGCTTGGAGAGACGATAAGCAACGAGGTCCAACGAACCGCTATCTGAGCCATAGCAGCGTCGAGATAGGCTGAAGTAGTGAGGTACGAACTATCATCCGAGTCGACGCCATCGACATTCTGACTTGTGATAGGGCGCAGAAAGCTGATACAGTATAAGAGCTAGGTGGCGCAACGCAATCCAGTCAATCGTACTTGATGCTTCAAACAGGCCTTTTGAGAGCTTACCCAGATGGCGGTATACACCACACCAGACTCGACGAGGAGCTCCAACACACGTTCAACCTGTGTGCGACCGTTTTCCGAGCGGAAGTTCTTGGGAAATAGTTTTCTATGCATGCTTGTTCATGTAACCATCAGAATCAGTGCATGAAGGCAGAAGGGATAGAGCACTGAACACATACAGAGCCTTAATCCCGACAAGTATTGTCGCGCATGCATTACTCATCAATGATGTAAACGCCGCAGATAGTCCAATATTATTCCCGGCATACGTCATCGCGTGAAACTCCGTATCCTTGCCGTTGCGCGCCGGACCGTGAGTCCCGCCGAGGGTATTGAGCGAATACATTCCTTCTCCGGCGATATTTGTGATGTTCAGCGCGAGCGTCGTGACGAGCAGTATGACAGCAAAGGTGAGAATAAGACGATTTTTCTCCCACACGATGCACATACGCCACAGCACGATCGAGTCACTAATGACTGCCTGCCAGACTATTGATGCGAAGACTCTTTGAATGAAGGATGCGGTGGTGCACATACGTTGATAGAGAGTAGTGCCACAATGGCCAATTCCCACATGACATCCACGGAAGGCGCAAACCACGACAGCTCAAGCACGGAAGGATCGGCCAGGCTGATGTATGACCGAAGGGTGATGGCCCAATGAATCAAAGACACGGTATACATCACGGCAGCCATGATGGGTATCACCAAAGCACACCCAGCGCGACGGAGTGAACTACTCTGCCTAAACTCGAATTGCGTATCAGAGACCAAAGGCGATTCGGTTACGAAGCAGGGGACGCACCAAAGCGTGACAAAAGCCGTGCACGCGAAAAGGGATGACGAACACCCTGTTGTTCACCAGTGAGGCCATCACGAGCGCCGTTTCAGGCAGTACGCACCAAAAAGAACGGTCTCTGACACGAGAGTCAGCAACCACTTCCATACCATGCCATCATTGACATAGGTCTCTATGTCAACACCCGCGGACGCAAAATCCAAGGTTGACAGCGAGATTCCTATCAAGCTTAATGGCCCGATGGTGCGGACATATTGAATCAGTAGATGCTTGCCCTGAAGACGGTGTCTCGTACCGGCCGCTACCAATAGACATTATTTGCTTCAATGAGAGAGTCCAATGCGTGATCATAATCAAAAGAACGATCCAAGGGACTGAGATTATAGGTGCCCGAGGGACGGAATGCGACTTAATCCTATGGCCCTTATCTCAGCACGGCACATCTCTTGCTGGAAGAAATCTAGCGCACCAGAACCAATATGTTCCAAGGGGAACGAATGTGCAGAGCATACCTACAACAGAACTGGTGAATGTGATTTTTGCCATTCGGCCGACGCGCACGTACCCAACAAAAAGCTCTCCAGAAGTAGCAACGGCGCGATAGAGGATGTCGTGCCTTCGAACAGGGCACCCAGAAATTCCAATTTTTCAGTGCTGTTAAGGGAAGGGAGGGGCATGACGATCTAATACAGCCGATGGTGAGAGTCGAGACAGCCAGCTTTTCTCACTACTCGAGAGACTTTATACACATGGTACCTACGTCACGCGGCGCTAAGTAGCTTGACCGACAACTCGGGACAATGCCTCCACCATTGGCGCTTTCATCATACGAATAGCGCCAGTGTCAATGTCCACAAGGAGGTTCCCGTATTCAGCATGCTTCTAGTGCTCGATCTTACAAACAGTAAACCACATCACCATACATTTCGACCGGCTGGACTGATTGCGAAGATGGGGTAGACTAGTGGTAGAATGTCGTGTAGCCGCAAGGGTGCGCGGATCGCTTAATCGCCACATCGCCGCAGACGTACCCGCGCACGTATGCGTATACGTTTTGTCCAGCGGCATGCAGATCATTACTATGGACCACCCAACATTGTACACACCGCTTGGGCTCCGCATTTGTATGCGGACCCGGTATAGGCGCTACGAGAGATGAGTGTGCGGCTATGTACGTGTAGAAGTAGGGTGGCGCAAACCTGCGGACGGCTGACCAGCGCCGAAACAAAGCGGAAGGGCTTTCCACATCCTCGCCATGGTCTTTGGGTTCACGCCGCGGCGCCTCGCAACACGGGGACGATAGTTGCCATTCAGAGAACAAGGATAACTTTCAAAAGGCAATAGTCGCGACGATCTCATCGACGAACAGCGCAATTGTGCGGAGTGGAGGGCGTTGCTGGATGATGGATGTCCGGAGACAGAGCCGCATCACGAACCGGCGTTCGTTCGTCGGCCCGTCACGAGTGTTCCCACGCCGCGAGATCCGCATCACGTATGTTTTTATGACATTAGTTACTACACAGCCGACGAGTACGAGTACTGTGAGGGAAGGGTGCGTCCCTACGCGATCGTGACAGGTAACGAGGTGAATGTGCATGAGATGCGGTGAGATCGAGACGCGCTCGGCAACTATACTCTTAGCGCTGCGAAATCGCAGGAACAGGACTGCCGCTCGAGCACCGGCCTCAAATCTCAGCAGAGAGTGCCTCACATAGGACTGTGAGCCTCATTCATAGGGTAGCATGGCTCGTCCGTGAGGTGCAACGAGCACAACGGCCCAAAAGAACGAACCGCGTCAAATTGAACTTTCAAAGACCGGCGCTCGTCCGTCGGCCGCCCCGAGTATTCCCACACCGCTTGATCCGCGTCGCAGTGTTCGATACAGTCACAGAAGGGAATACACATATGATAGCACACACTACAACCACTCGCTCTTCCTGCGTTTCCACTTCGGCTCCTCCTCATCCTCCAACACTCTCCGCATCTTCGCTCGCTCACTTCGTCTCCTCGTTCTCTCCGGCGGAAGCTCGACCATCATCGCTCTCGAATGCGAATGCAGAACCCATCGCACTGCGCTCGATGTCGACCTCGAAGGTGACCGTAACAGCGGCATCGATGGCTTGTACCTCCACTATTGGTCCTTCCTTACCATGTATAACACCACTGAGAACTATAGGCCCACGCGAGTGATGAATCGTGCCGAGCGCGACTAGGAGGAAGACAATGAGGGGGTAGATGGCCTGTACGTTAAATGTGTGATCAGAGACTCAAAAAGATACCACGATGAGTATGGCATCATGACTGACCGTAATCTGCGCCATGATCGCATCGAGATGAGCAGCAGCAGTGACCTCATACTTAGGTTCAGAGGGGTCCGAAGGATCTCCGAAAATGTTGTAGACGGCGATCGGCCATAGAAAGCTGATACAGTATAAGAGCTGGAGTGCACGTTAAGCCGATCACCCCGGATGCGTCACATGAGCGTTTCTGCAACTTACCCAGATGATGGTATATACCACGCCTGATTCTACAAGGAGCTCCAGCACACGTTCGACCCGTGTACGTCCGTTCTCCGAGCGAAAGTATTTGGGAAACGACCTTCTGTGCAATCTACATGATGCAATCAATCGGCGCACAGAGGCATGGAGGATGTTAACCAAAGTGGACTGAACATACAGAGCCTTTATTCCAACCAGTATCGTCGCGCATGCATTGCTCATTAACGACACGAACGCCGTAGAGAGCCCAATAGTGGTCTGTGCATATGCCGCATGGAGGATTTCCGAGTCCTCGCCGTTGAAGCCAAAGTTGGCAGTTGAGGCATTGCTTGCGATATTCAAGAAACTCAGCGCTAGCGTCGTGGCAAGCAATACGGCAGCGAAAGCAATGATAGGACGCCTCTTCTCCCACACAATGCACATACGCCACAGTACAATAGCGTCACTCATGATAACCTGGCAACATATAGATGAGAAGACTCTTGGAACAATAGATGCGATAATGCACATACGTTGATAGAGAGTGACACTAGAAGGCTTATGTTGTAGAACATCTCCAGATCGAATGAAAAGTCCCCTTCATACAATGGATCGGAGGTGTCGGCCAGCATAATATATGCTTGAAGGGCGAAGGCCCAGTGAGTCAAAGACATGGCATACATCACCGCAGCCACGATGGGCATCACCAAAGCATACCCCGAGCGACGCAGTGAACGAATCTGCCTTATCGCGCATCGTATATGAGAGGTCTAAGGCATTTTGGCCGCCATGAAAGGGGCAACACACCAAAGCGTCGCGAAAGCCGTACACGCAAAAACAGATGATGAATATCCTACTCTTCATTAGCGGGGTGATTATGTGGTAGCCGTACAAAGCAGTACACACCAAAAAGAGCGGTCTCTGATACGAGAGTCAGAACCCATTGCCCCGTCTCTCCGAACCCGTTATGTAGAACGCGAAAGGTGAAACCGTCCCCAGTCGAACCGTCTTCTACTTCTTGGGGAATGTTCGGAAGCAAGATCCCCATCGAGCTTGGTTTTGAAGGTTCGTTATGATTCATCAGGTGCTCATCTCATAAAATGGAATCTCGTACCGTCCGTTAAAAGTTGATTCAAGCTGCTTCAACGACAGTGCCCAGTGCATGGTGACCAAGACAAGGACGACCCAAAGTATCGAGGTGAAAGGTAACCGGTGAACGGAGTGCGGATTGATCCTATAGTTCTTGTATCAATATGGTGACTCTCGATGTCATGATTCCGAAGGGTAAGCTTGCGCACCAAAGCCCGTATGTTCCGAGAGGAACGAATGCGCAGAGCATACCTACATATTGGATTGTTAGAACCTCGTTCTCCATCCAATGGCGAGGGAACTATACCCATCATGAAACTCTCCAGGAGTAGCAATGGAGCGGCAGAGAATGCTGTGAACCGAAAAAGGTCATCAAGGACTTCGACCCGCTCAGTCACATTGAGGAAAGGAAACGGCATCTTGACGATGGAAAAGAAGAAACCAAAGGCGAGAGGACGAAAGAAGACGAAAGAAGTACGGTGATAGTGAGTGGTTCCACCGCCCAACGACATTTATACAGCTACGACAGCGGCACACAGTTCCTTGATGTCCACACGCCAGGGCGGCTAGACCGGAACAGCATTCTTCGACAGCCATGTTGGGGTACAAAGGGATCTAACCATCCCAACATCGACAAAGGAATCGCCGTTCCTCGCCTAGCACTCGCACCCAGATGCCGGATACGTGCACACAGCGGCCACATACCGTCTCATGTGGCTCTACGTGGAGACCAAGGATCATGCTTCATCGCAACGGTGGCGTTGGATTGTGTGGAAGAATGTCCTGGGCAAGGTGTACGCCTCATGTACACAAGATGCGAACTGCTTCGGTTGGTCGTTGTGACGCAACAGGTTGCATTGCACCCACGCCCGAAGGCGTAGCTTCATAGTATGTCCCTTTCGGGTCTCGCCGCAATTGGATCCCACAGCGAATCCGCAGGCTTCGCTTCCAGAATGATCGGAGGAGGTAGATGGACGTTGGAAGGAAGGGCTGAACCATGGACCGGCGTTTGTTGGTCGGCTCGCCACGGAACTTCACACGGTGGTTGGTCCGTAGCGTGCACAAGTGCAAGCGCGTACCCGTGAATGCAGATAGCGTATGTATGACCGAAGACTATGCGCACTACAAGCAACGTATAAACGCAGAAACGCGTTCAAGACGAACTACACGCTCTTTCTGCGTTCTCTCCTCGGCTTATCTTCCTCCCCTTTGACCCTCCTCGGTATCCTATTGCGTTGTAGCGGGTGCATACGCCCAGAAAATCACGGACATGTAGTCCTGCGAGCACGATCATCATTTTCCATGCGCGCAATTGGCCCCACACAGCGAGCTAGTCACTCTGCGCGTCCGAGTCTGCGCGTCCAAGTTCATCTTCTCGGCCGCTTTGCTCTCGTCGGGAGACGCCACATGTCCTTCAATAAACGGGGCGTGTTAAGTGAGAAGCACTGGGGCTCGGGCTACAGCATAGGCAGTATCGTCGGTCGCTCAATCTTCCCCAACGTTGCTGTGGTCCACAGTAGTGGCGGGTGGAAGCAGAGCGCAACTTCGAGCCGATGTCGTTCGCATTTGCTCAGATTGGCTCTCGGCGAATACTCACACGCCGCACATTTCACCGACGAGCTCACAGGAGCTCACTCTGTTTGCATTGCGATATAGTTTGAAGTCGCATAGCCGGTAACGAGCTGTAATGTAGTGACCGTAACGAATGCCAGTGAAGTACAATAGCAACGTATGATGGTGCCTATACTAGAGAGCAGGCGAGCAGAAGTGAAGCGGTGCTCGATCCGGGCATTTTCAACTTCGCTAGGATGGTCTACCCAGCTTCGAAGTGAGCAAAGCACAGTATGTTGACAGTATGAGAGCAAAGACGAATTATGAAGCAGTACAACATGGCGAGGTACAAACAGACGCAGACAGAGCCACTCTCTACTCGCTCTTCCTCCGTTT